AAATTCATTAAATCGTTGCATAATTTAATAGAATACATAATATGTTGTATTACAAAAAAGGGCACTAATTTAATGAAAAAATGGAAAATAATATAATGAAACGTATGCAGATTGTTTCGTGAAAATGTTCATTGATGAGCTTGTTTTATGAAACTTTTGGGGATGAACTGGTTGCATAATATAATATTTTTGGATAATCTTGTTTGCTTAGCAACAATTATTGATGAAATTGTTTCATTTTTTTTATTTTTTTTTGAATGATTTTGTTCATTTAATGATTAACAAAGTCTGTAGTGTTAAATGCATTGACGCTATGAAACGTGTTCGGATTGCAAAAACTTTGTCGATGAAATGGGTGCATAAAGAAAGTGAAACCATTTCATAATTGTTAAGAAAATGTTGTGTAATTAGAGAACAGTGAAACCATTTCATAATTAGATTGAAACGAATCCATCTACCAATAACATTAAATTAACAAATGTCTCATCTAGCATTACGTTGATTTGTGTATTGATGAAACTATGAAACGTGTTCGGATTGCAAAAACTTTGTCGATGAAATGGGTGCATAACGACAGAGAAACAATTTCATAATTGTTAAGAACATGTTGTTTAATTAGTAAACAGTGAAACCATTTCATAATTAGATTGAAACGGAACCATCTACCGGAAACTTGAAAATGACAAATGTCTCATCTAGCATTACGTTGATTTGTGTATTGATGAAACTGTGAAACCATTTTGTTTATGAAATGTAGTAGTAAATTTTTTTATTATTATTCAAAAGGTTTCATTATGTTAAATTGATTATAGTGTGTTTTATTTTTATTGTTGATCTATTTTAATGATGAATGTTATTTTTTATAATATTTGAACATAAAATTAATATATTATTTTACAAATGATTTGTTTCATTAATATTACGATATACATGATATGGTTGTCATTAATATTACCACTACCAAAGTTACCATTTTACCCTTTTTGAGATTATAAAATAATTTTTTTAATTTCCTAATATAACCTAAACTAATCTTGACCATTGATCAAGAAAATAGATGAATGAGATTGGTTTACATGGTTTACACAAATGAAAACGGTTTTCATTTAATCGCTTCTCTATAAATCATATCTATAATATTATATTGTAAGGGAACAATTTAGACGAGAACACCTTTATTTTAAGGAAATTCGAGAACATTTTTGGGGTTCCAAATTATTTAACCCATAATTAAAATTAAATAAAAAAAGTAAATATTTAAGGATAATAATGTGGTTTCGTGTTTATTTGTAATTTTGGTGATTTCATTATCCCTAAAATCGCATGCAGGTAATATACTCAACAATCACAATGTATTACATGTGATAAATATGTTGGTTATGCATTTAGAGTGTTAACTACAAAATCACATTATAATCACATCACTATCACATAATTATCACAACAAATTCACATCATAAGAAGTCTTCAATTCATCAAACATTATCACATTATTATCACAACGTTATCGACAATGAAGACATCAACATAATAAGTCTACCATGATATTAACAACTGTTAAGGGATAAAACTCATAAAAGTAAATATAATATAATATAAAATTATTGATAAATACCAAAATATTTATTTTTATTGTAATTTTTATTATGAGTTAATTATTTTGAATGCTAAAAATTGTTCTCGCATTTTCGTAGAACATGGATGTTCTCGTTTGAACCCCATCTATATTGTAATTTACATTAATGATCCATTTTTTTATTTTCTTTTTTGGTTTTTTGGTTTTTTTTAATTAAAGGTGGTTACAACCGATCAAATGGTAACTTTTGCTGATCAAATAAGCACTCCTGATTTGGTTGTAAGGATTGTAAGAATGTAAATGATTACATAACCCACCTCCACATATTTAAATTTTTGTATAATATATTATTCTACAACTTAATAGTGTTTGTGTGTATATATACATATTATAATTTAGGTTTTACATAAATATCACATATACATATATTTATATGCAAGTATTATACATAATAATCTATTATTTTATTATATATATATATATATATATATATATATAACAAAGATTATAACATGGAAATGTTCATTTGAGAAGTGATAAGTGTTTGAAAAATAAAGAAGTGATCATATCCTTTCATCTGGTCAATATTTGCGGTTTTGACTATGAAACACCGGATAATTCCTCGTATGGGAGGCAAACGGGTTCATATATGAAACTGTTAATTAGTTCATATGTGAATCACACAGGCTCGTATGTGAATCAGTTAATTTGTTCATATATGAATCATAAGGGTTTATATGTGAATCAGTTAAAATAGTTCATATGTGAATTAACGGGTTCACATATGAACTCATTACCGCATATTTGTAAAAGTTATGAAGATACCTCCTCTATTTTTCGCATAGCAGCAAATTTTGATCAATCAAAGCCACATTTCTTAATCGGTCAAAGCCGCAATTCTTGATCAGTCAAATTTGATCTTGACCGTATGAAGGGTTAGGATCTCTTCTTTATTTCTCAAATATTTACTACTTCTCAAAATAACCTATGGCTACTATAACACACACACACACACACATATATATATATATATAGAGAGAGAGAAGTTCAATTACAAACTCAATTTTCATTGTAAACGTGATGACTGATCTCGGCCTCTATTTTATTTGATTTAACAACTCAAATTAAATATAGTTTTTAATTAAAATTATTAATTAAGGTGATTATGGGTAAAAAAAAATTTAATTTCAACCTAAGCCTACCTTTTTGACTTTTTAGTTTTTTTAATTAAATTTTTTTACCTCCTTAAAAATTTAAAATAAATTATCTTAAAAATTACTAATATATTAATCAAACAATTTAGATCAAGAAAATGAGAATTTCATGTTCTTCGATATGACATCCGTCTCGATAGTTTTTTTTTTTTTTTCTTTTCATTTTTGATAACCGGATACTTGGTTATAAAGTTTGAGGTTGTTTTTAAATTTGATTTGAAAGTTGAGAGGTGTGTTTTGGAAACTGGTTTAAAATTTTTAAATCATCACCATCTCATATGTATTATAATCCATGTTGCCTGGGGTTTCTAAAAGAAGAAAAATAAGTCTGGTGAATTCTATGTGTATTCTTCGAGTTCGAGCAAACAGAAACCGAAGGGAAGAAAGAAGAAACTGATTTTGTATTCTTGACTGAATTTGTTGATGTTTATCATCTTCATATCTCTATGGACTATGGTCATAAGGTGAGTTTTATTTTTGAAAACATCATTTCTTGTGTTTTTGGGTGAAGAAACCGTAAGGTTTCATACGTGAATACATGGTGATTTTATGTTACCTATTAGCATAAATTTTGGTTTTGATATGATTTTATTGTCTGATTGTAATAAGGGTGACATAATCAGAAGATGAGTATTTTTGGTAATAAGGGTGGCATAACCAGGAGCTGAGTATATCTTTGTAATAAGAGTGACATAATCAGGAGTTGGGTATACTGGGATAAGAGTGACATAATCAAATACTGGTAATGATGATCTTTTGATCATGGGATTATGTTATCACATCTATATGTGCGATAAGTGTGATTGTTATCGTATAGTGTGGTGCGATGAGATTGGGTTGTGATTCAAAGTGTTATTTTTATTGCATCAATGAGATACGACAAATTGGGTTTATCGCACTAGTATGGTGCGAGGAGTTACTGTTATCGCATCTGTTGGATGCGACAAGGTTGGTTATCACATCTTTAAGGTGCGACAAGGGTGGGTTATCGTATGTGTGTGATGCGACAAATTGTTGTTATCACATATGTTGGATGCAACAACCTTATGACTTATTTATTTAAATACGACAAATTTATATGTGATGCGATAAATGGATTATTTCAATGGTTGATGCGATAAGTGAGTATTGTCTCATCACAGTGATGCGACAAAAAGAGGTTTGTTCAATAAAAGATTGTATATTTGTTATTTATACGATTAAGATTTTATAAGAAGTATTTTTGGTGACACATCACCTTCTTCAACACTTTTTTCAACGTCGTAAGGCACCACGTTCTTCATCACTATAAACCCAACACCCATCGAGAACCGATCAAAACCGATTGAGAATGGTCGAGAATCCATTCATTGATTTGGTATGTGTTTATATGTGTTAAACCATAACCTACCACCTTCATTTTCTAATGAGAACATATCAATTGATTTATTATTTATTATTGGGAACCCAACAAGACCAATCAAGAACACATTGAGATTGATCGACAATCCATTGGGACCAATCTATACCAATCGAGACTAATCAAGAAGTCATCCATTGACTTAATGTGTGTTAGTTTGTGTAAAACCACAACCTACCACTTTTAACTTTTATCGAGATGGATCCGGAAATCTATTGAGACGAATTGGAAACTCATCTTGATCAATCGAGAACCCAATAAAGATTAAGAAAGAAAAACTACAAGTATGTAAAGTTGAAACTATAGTATATTCATGATAAATAATATGTATATACATGATGAATATTATGGTGAAATTAATATTGATAATAAATATCATACTGAATATAAATACTAGAGAGTTATTGTATACACGTGATCATACATAAATATTAATGACGAATATTACAGTGAAACTGGATATTCATGACGAATATCATATTGATGTATGAATGTTGAAAAATTATTATATGCACGTGAACATATATATCATGATGAATGTTATAAAAAAATGTATATTCGTGATGAATACAGTTTATATGATGAATGTCATAATAAAAATGTATATTGATGATGTATAAATACCGAAGATTTATTAAATACACATGAAAATCAATTTGTTAAATAAAACATTTATATTAATTTAAGAGAATAATATACAACAATGAACACACAAATTGACCACAAATTGAACTTAAAGCCGGCAATGGAGTCCTCCATTAAAACACTCCATCCTCAATTCCTGATCCTATCACGTGTGGCCAACTTTTAATACTCCATTCCACTTATAATTCTTTATTTTATTTGTTACATTTCAGAGTCGGGACCCCACTTCAATTTTGTTTGATTTCATGTCTGCTGCAAATCTCCCAACTACCCACCTCTTTCACCAAATTTCCACACTAAATCATTCACGAACCTCTTCATTCAACAACTTCCTTCCAGGTACCTTTTGATCCTTTCTCTTTTCTTTTTATTACAATCTTCATTCACTGCATTTTGGATTCAGTATGATTCTTGTCTGAAGAATCAAGATTCTGTTAAGTTCTTTTTCGTGTTATGAATCAAGAACTTGTGAATTCATGACCATTTTATGCTACCTTTTGCAGATTATTTGAATTGGGTGTCGTTGTTTTGAACTTGAAGGTTCAAAGTTGGGGCAAATGGCGGTTTCTGGTGCATTGAGTTGTGGAATTGGTGGTGTGGTAAGTGAAAATAGGGCAATCAGGAGACATTTTGGTACCCAATTACTAAAACAAAATCTTGGAAGAAATCGAATTGGGATTCAAAGTAGGAGACTTAGATTCAATAGTGTAGTTAGGGGTTGTGGGTTGATTAGTGATCAAGAGGCTTTGGATTATGATTTGGGTGCTTCCAATTTGGAGGAAAGATTAGCCGAAACAAGAGATAGGCTCATAAACCCAATGTAAGGTTTTTCGGTCATTAATCATCTTTTTAGTTGCTTATTGAAGTTATATGAGTGATTTGAGTTGTGTAGTCTTGATTTCTATCCATTTATGTTTGTTATTCATTAGTGAATTGGTGGGGACTGCCGCCGATGCCACGCCAAGTGTGCAAACCGAGCTTGTATTGCTTGCATTGCCGGCCATTGCAGGCCAAGCTATTGAACCTTTGGCCCAACTTATGGAGACGGCTTATATTGGTAGATTAGGTAAGGGGTTGTTTACTTTCTTTTCCATTAAGCCCTGTATGCGTTAAGCTGTTTGTACAGATAAATTTGTCTGCCTGGATGAAATGTTTACCGATTCTCTTTATAGTGAATCAACGGTCTGAATAACTGAAATCAACGGCCTTATTTAGTAATCAACAACTTACGGGATTTGCTTTTATATTATGACTTTGTTCATTAAGCCCTGTATGGATTAAGCTAAATTTTATATTCGGTTGCCGTTTAAGGTGCTTTGGAGTTGGCATCAGCCGGTGTATCCATATCAATTTTCAATATAGTATCAAAGGTGTTCAACATTCCCCTGCTTAGCGTTGCAACTTCATTTGTGGCCGAAGATATAGCTAAGCATGCACAAATTGAATCTGATTCAGGTATGTCCTCGAAATTTATATCAAATCTTTTGGCAAAACAGATCATACGATTGATAAAATTTCACGGGTTTCTAACTTGCATACTAAAACGAAAAGCATATCAATCACATACTTAGACCTTGTACAAACATATCTGTTATTATCATTTTCGTATAACTAATGTGGGGTCTCTGAAATTCAAGTGTCGAGTTAAAAATAGGGTGACGTTCTTTCAGTTTGTTGTAGTGATCTTGATTGTAGTTTTTATTGGTATTTAGATCGAACAGATGTTATTGATGCATAAAACATACCGAACGAAACCTATTTTCTTGCAGAAAAAAGAAGGCAATTACCCTCAGTATCTACCGCATTAGTTTTATCGGTCGCAATTGGTATAATTGAGGCGGCAGCGTTGTATTTTGGAGCCGGAATGTTTCTCACTTTGATGGGCATATCATCAGTAAGAAATAGAGGCATATACTGAAGTCATGTTTCTTACATAATTGATATGGTTTATTGGGGGTTTATGGAAGTAACGATTTCGTAAATTGATCACTTGAATAGGCTTCATCGATGCGCATTCCGGCAAAACGGTTTCTTCAACTTAGAGCACTCGGTGCTCCAGCCGTTGTACTTTCGCTTGCCATTCAAGGCATCTTCCGTGGATTCAAGGACACAAAAACACCCGTATTTTGTTTAGGTACGCGTTTGTTAGTCTCTTTACACCAGTAAAGTTATATTCCCAAATAGTGTTGAAATAAGATAAACCAAACAAACCCAATGTGGGATTCATTGGGTTCGTTTCGTTTGGTTACCGCTACAAAAGAGTTTACTATTCATTATCAAAACGGCTTACTCATGCATACAACAAATGTTCAGGACTCGGGAATTTGGCAGCCGTGTTCTTCTTTCCCATTCTCATGTATGTTTTCGGATTGGGTGTGACTGGAGCTGCCATTTCCACCATTGCATCACAGTATGTACTTTTACGACTTCCTGTGAACAATTTAGAAACGTTTTGCAACTCGTACCACAACTCTTGGTCAACACTGATTCACCGGACATTTTTTTAGTCAATTACGAGCGTAAACGACACGACAGCCAGCAGTTTTGACATGAATCTTCTATCTTTTTGTGGTGTTTATTTCATTGGTTCAGATATATTGTGACCTTTGCAATGATGTGGCACCTTAATAAGAAGACAGTGCTGAAACTACCCAAAATGAAGGATTTACATTTCGGTGGTTATCTGAAATCCGGTAGGTGTTTCCTGATCGTAGTGTCCCGTTTATGTGGTCAAAATGGTGGAAACGATTCGAGTTTTTATGGTTTCCTTCAGGTGGTTTTCTTCTCGGGAGAACTTTAGCGGCTGTTGCAACAGTAACCTTGAGTACATCAATGGCTGCTCGGCAAGGACCAATCGCCATGGCTGCACATCAAATATGCTTGCAAGTATGGTTATCTTCATCTCTTCTTGCAGACGCCCAAGCATCGGCTGGTCAGGTAAAACCATGTTTTTGTTTGAAAAAATCTTGATGGCCTGATTTATAGCTTTGGAGCTTGTGAAACCTGCATATCAACTAAGGCTATGTTTGGCAAAATAACTGATAAGTTAGTTGTTGGCAGATAAACTAGTTGTTGGCAGAAAAGCTAGTTGTTAGTTGATAAGCACCGCTAAACTAGTCGATGTTTGGTAAAAAAATAGCTGATAAGTTAGATGACATTTTGACCTAAAAGGAAATACTGAAAGATTAATAGGAAAAAATCCAAGGGGCACAATTGGGAAAAAAATTGGAAAAAGGGCCCTTGTAGCTAGTGAAAGGCTTAAGCTAGCTATTAGCTGAAAAGCTAGTTGTTGACCAAAGTTGATAGCTTATAAGCAAGCTGATGAACTAGTCATGTTTGGTAAAAACTAGCTGATAAACTAGATGAAAATGTAAATGAGCTAAAAGATTTGTTGAAAAATTAATTGAAAAAATATAAGGGACACAATTGGGAAAAATGGAAAAACGCCCTTGGAGCTTTTTGAAACGCTTGGCTATTAGCTGAAAAGCTAGTTATTGGTTGATAACCTAGTTTGCTAAAAATAAGCTGATAAGCTAGATTACAATGTAAATGACCTGACAGATATGTTAAAAAATTATTTGGAACGACATAAGGGGCACAATTGGAAAAAAGTGGAAAAAGGCCCCTGGAGCTTATTAAAAATGCTACTTGAAGTAATATTTCGAAAAGCTAGCTTATGGCTAACCAAACGGGCATTTTTCAAAAAGCTTAAAAAATAAACTAGCTTATGGTTGCCAAACATGGCCTAAAACCAGGGTCGTAAGTAGCTACCAATCTGCTACTAACTTATAAGGAACTCATAATTCACCTTATAACCGACGTGGGACGACTGTTATAAGAAATACGTGATTTTGCAGGCTCTGATTGCAAGTTCTTTCTCGGAACACAACTACAGCAGAGTTAAAGAGATAACGTTCTATGCTTTAAAGGTTTTGATCGTCTTCACCCTTTTTGTTTCTATTTTGAAGCGTTTATGCTCTTTTTGGGTAACTGTTTGTTTACCATTTTCTATCGCAGACCGGATTAATAACCGGGGTTAGCTTAGCCATCATACTGGGTCTGTCGTTCGGTTCCTTAGCCACATTATTCACCAACGATGCCGAAGTTTTAACCGTTGTTAGATCCGGTGTATTGGTATGTACTCATACTTGTAATGTGCTATTACCTTCACATTTGGGGTAACCGTGGGTGTCCGGGTCAACTTGTGCACACCTCGACTAATCCCACGAGGCCCTGAAGTTACTCCATCCCAAAATAACTGTCTACATTTCTATTTTAATTTGTTCCAAAATAACTGTCTACTTTCAAAAGTAAATGCTACTTTTCAATTCTGCCTTTAATTATGAGATGGATAAATTCATCACTCCCACTATTATTAAGGGTAAAATTGTCATTTAGTCAATTAAAAAGCGTAGTAATTAGACATTTTCTAGAGTTGTGTGCCTTTTTCATTTTGGATGTTTATTTTGTGACGGAGGGAGTAATAGCCGGGCAAACCCTCCGGTGGTCCTGAACTAGTGACATTTGTCGAGCAAACTCAAGATTTTACCAGTTGAGCTATCTTTCAGGGTTATTACCTTCCATATTCAGAGTTAGATCAATGACTTTAACGTTGATGTATTTACAGTTTGTGAGCGCAAGTCAACCGATCACCGCTCTTGCTTATATCTACGATGGGCTTCATTATGGAGTTTCAGATTTCTCATTTGCAGCGGTCTCGATGGTAAGATCCTAGAATTAAAAGATTAGGGGCTGCTTACTAAACATTTACCGCCTCTTACCGGGTAACTTACCACTTATTACCTCTCATCGGAAAAGAGACACTTACCAGGTCAGAGATGATAATTTTTACCAACAATCTTATCGTATCATTTTGCTGACTGAGAATCTTACCTTATCAGTGATGGTGGGGACTCTTACCCTGCTAGCGCAGTAAGGTAAGTGACGGTGGTGAGTGCTTACTCGGTGAGGTTTGTGTCGGTAAACAGCCCGTTGAAAGAACAGGCACTATGACTAATGAACTAACGATGTATAGATGTTGGTGGGAGGAATCTCATCTGCGTTTCTACTCTACGCTCCTGGGGTTTTTGGGCTTGCCGGAGTTTGGGCAGGCTTGACGTTGTTCATGGGAATGCGAGCTGTTGCCGGATATATAAGGTAAGCCAGATCATTAAATGGGTTAAGTCACCAAGAGAGATGAGCCGTTCTTGTTTTTGCAGGTTATCGGAGAAAAATGGTCCATGGTGGTTCTTGCAAGAGATCCCGAAAACCCAGGTTAGTTGGCTCGACTCACGACTTGCGTTTTCGTCAAAGTGCATTTCTTAAAACATAACCATTTTGCAGATTGCTATTTCACAAAATACTTGATCAAGGCAAGGCTCCAACTACGCCAGAATTTCACATTAGGATGGTCTCTCAACAACTATTGGGTTAAACCGTCACATTTTGATCTCGGTAAAAGGGTGTGAGATTTTCTCAACGATATTTAGAGAGATATAGAGTCCGATGATGTTTTTTGATATTGATAAAGGTCACCGTATTGAAACTATCGCGTTTTTACCGTGTACATATTTGTCGTGTTTTGGTTATAAAGGTAATTGTTGCCCACATGAAACGCGTTTGTTGTACATCTGTGACGCATCGTAGTAATTATCATGCGCAATTATTGATTAATAAACTAACGGTTGGCTAAACAGCTGGTTGTTGGCTAAATAACATAGCTATTAGATGGTAAGATAGCTTTTAGATTATATTCACCGAAAAAACCATAACCGTTTGATCGTTGTCCAAGAGCGAAAAACATTTGTACATTCGATACGAGATTTGCTTCAACGGGTTGTAATTTGCGCTCACGAAATGCTACTGAGCACTTTCGCCTTTTCCCTCAGCAAAAACTTCTGCACCTTCCCAGTCGACGTTCTCGGCAACTCTTCGAAAACCACGGTTTTCGGGGCCATATAATGTGGCAAACGATTGCGACAGTAGTCGATGATGTCCTGTCCGTCGCAATTGAAGCCATCTTTCAATTTCACAAACGCGCAGGGTGTTTGACCCCAGTGGTTGTCAGGTCGTGCAACCACTGCGACCTCGAGAACCGCTGGATGACTGTAAATAACGGTTTCAACCTCGACCGTGCTAATGTTTTCGCCTCCGGAAATGATAATGTCCTTCGATCGGTCCTTAACTTCTATGTACCCGTCTGGATGTTTGACCGCCAGATCACCGCTATGAAACCACCCGCCTGTAAACGCCTCCGCAGTTGCTTTCGGATCCTTCAGGTATCCGCTCATGACAGTATTCCCGCGAAACATAATCTCTCCCATCGATTTCCCGTCACATTCGACGCTCTCCATCGTGATCGGATCCTTCACGTCGACTTCCTCCAATCCGAAATGTCGAACTCCTTGTCGGGTTTTGAGTTTAAACCGATCTTCAGTTGGCAATGAATCCCATTCGGGTTTCCATAAACACGACGTTCCTGGACCTAACGTTTCCGTGAGACCATACAAATGAGATACCCTAAACCCTAATTCCTCCATCTTCGAAAGGACTAGCGGCGGCGGAGGTGCAGCGCCAGTCATAATCTCCACCCTCTGGGGGAGTGGTTTCCGGTGATCCTCCGGCGAATTCACGATCATATTCAGGACCGTCGGAGCTCCGCCCATGTGTGTCACCTTATGAAGGACGATGGTATCGAATATATCTTTCGGATCACAGCGGCGGAGGCATACGTTAGTGCCGCCGACGGCCGCCAGTCCCCACGCAAGACACCATCCGTTGCAGTGAAACATAGGCACCGACCAGAGATAGGTGGGCATCGCTGCCATTCCGTGCATGAAAACGGTGGCGATGGAATTGAGATACGCACCACGGTGGCTATAAACAACCCCTTTAGGCCTGGATGTGGTGCCGGAAGTATAATTTACACTAATCGGATCCCATTCATCAGTTGGTCGGAGGACAGAGAATCCGGCAACCCCACCATCCACAAGGCTCTCGTAGTGGTACGCGTTGGTTTTTAAATCGGACGGTGGCCGGTCGCCGGCGTCGGAGATGATAACAAGAAGAGGAGGTTTTTTGAGGAGATGGATGGCAGCCACAGCAGAATCAAGAAGTTGGTGATCAACAGCGAGGAGTTTAGCTTGGGAATGGGTTAAAAGGGTGGCGAGCATATTTGAATCATGGCGAGTGTTGAGAGTGCAGAGGACGGCTCCGGCCATCGGAACGGCGAAATGGAGTTCTTGCATCGCCGGAACATTTGGTGCTAGCGTTGCCACCTACACGTGTCATTAACATTTACCTTTTAGTTATTATCTCAATATTTATGAAACTAAATATCATGGTATTTTTTAGTTTTTTCTTAATGAAAATTAATACTAGTTTTTAATCTAATTAAAAAATTAATTAACAACTTAAAACAATCTTTATGCGCCATTATCGTATAATTTATCTATAAAATCTAAATAACATGATTTTGATATTTGTTTTGTTTAAATCTCTTAAAGACCAGTTAAAACTGTTTGTCTGAATTTGATCCTAATTTTTTTCTTTTTCCATTGTCCGGTTGAGGCCTGGCCTAAGTCTACTTTTGACTGAAAATTTGATCTTTTTAAAACCGGTTAAGACCCGATTTAGGTAGTCTTTGATATGGAGAGATGATTGGACAGAACAAAATTGGACAGGACTGGATAAAACAAGAAGGTAGGACTGGACATGACTGAACGGGAGGGAACTAAAAAAAAAAGTGTTTATCTGGTGTTTGATACTAAAACTAGACATGACAAAAATATAAAAAAAATTGCCCCCAAAAATAATTTTATGAATTTATATATTATATAACAGTTATAATTAACAAATAAAATTAAATAATTTAATTTATAAACATTTTTATACAATTTTCATATACATAAATATAGAACAATATCAAATTCGAATGAATTTTTTTACGCAATTGATAGTAGTTTGAAAAAACTCAATTCGTATAAAGGAGAAATGACGTTTTATTTGGTTTGGAAGATCATTATCAATTGGTGAAAGTACGGTACAACAATGGTTGTGGAGGTATTAGCATTGGTAATTGGTGGACGATGGTGGTTGTGGAGGACATGAAGATGGTGGATAGTGGTGGTGATGGTAGCGGTCGACAATGGAGAGAGTAGTTGTGGCCTATGTAGTGAAGGTAGGTGTGATGGTGGGCAGTGGTGGTGGTGATGGTGATGGACGGTGGTAGTTGTAGATGACGTGAATATGGTAGATAATAGTAGTGGTACCCGATGGTGGTGGTGGGCAGTTTTAGTGGTGGTTATGGTGGTGGTGGCGATGAACAGTGTTGGTCGGTGGCCCATGACGATGACGGTTCTGAAGGTGGTGGAAGAGGTTGTAGTAGAAGAGAAGGTGAAGGTGACCAACGGTGGTAGTAGCAATGGACAATGGTGGTCGGTGGCTGATGGTGGTTATGGAGGTGGTGATAGACAATGGTGGTAGGTGGTCGATGGTGGTGGTGGAGGAGATCGCGGTGGCCGACGGTAGCTATCGGTGGTGGCATCGACCTCAACTAGCGGTGGTGACCACTAAAACAGATATCATGTTAATGTTATATATCAAATAAAGGTTAATTAATAATATTTAGTTTATGTCTCATTCTTGTCTCATCTTGTTGGAACAAAAAAAATATTTTTTTGTCTCACGCTGTCCCATCTTGTCCCAATTATTGTCCATGTCCCTGTCATACCAAACGTAGGACATCTTGTCCTGTCTCATGTCACGCCAAACATATGACAGTGAATTTTCTTCCGTCTTGTCTCATGTACCAAATGCAACCTTATCCACCTCTATGGATAATTTATCTATAAAAATCCAAAATCTTATGGTTTTGATATTTATTCTTTCAATTCTATAGAGGGGTTGTTTGGGATTGCTTATTTGAAACAAATTATACTTTTATACAAAAGTACTTAACTTATTATAAGTCAGAATAGTTTAAATTCTTCAAAAACTCTTTATTACCAATTTGACACCGATTTAAGTTATTTATTCAAATACTTAAAAGTGTTTTAAACCGATGTCAAATAAATTGTTTTTACAATTAATCCTAAACACCCCTGGAATTAATAAGAAGATCCACGGTGAGCAGAAATTTGCAGATTGGATTCGAGAAGAAAACAAACTTACAACGTCACCAGGAGAAATCCCCAATTGCGTTAGAGCAGAAGCGAGTTTCACGCACCTTCTGTGTGTTTGTTCCCACGTATACTTGAGGGATCCATAAATGACGGAGGTCCGATCTCTGTAAACATCGGCGGCTCTCTCCAAAAAGCTAATCGGTGTGAGCGGAACATAGTTGGCTGAGCACTGTACCAGTCCTTCCACCGATCGCCATGATTTTGGCTGCAAATCATCACCAGATTCAGACAATTGGAAGTATTGACGCCACCACTGATTAGGAAGAAGATGAAGATGAAATCGGTTTAGGAGCCATGTCCTTGGCTTATTGAAGATTTTGTTCATGGTGATGTTGAAGGCGATGAAAAAGGGGAGATAAGAAAATTGTACAGATTATAGTTGTGACTCTCTCCTGAACTAAATTCCAAGGAAGGGGAGTTCATGGGATAATTCAAGGACGATGGGGGATTAAAACAAGAAGGTTATATATTGCGAAAAATATATTTAAATGTGAATTATTGATTTTTTTTTTAATATATGAATGATATGCAACGTTAGTTTATATATTAATCTTTAAATATATATTATCACAACATTTAACCTTTTTATTTAAACGGACCCTTTGAAATATGTGTCACATCAATACTTGTATCTACCTTTCAAAATACATATAATGGTTCAATTGGCAGTGCAGACCTAAGATTTTTGTCGAGCATGAACCCCGTTTAAGGTAGATCAGAGGCCCTCAAAGTCGTAGAATATCTTTTTACCTGAATTTCAACGTTTCAAGGGACTTTTAAAGCTTTTTGGTTGATTTCAAAAGACCTTTTTAGGGTTTTTGATTGATTTCGAGGTACTTTTTAGCAGGTGCATCATCATATCTAGAAAAGTCTGTCTTGCGAAAATAAGTTAAACGAGTGAACTGGAGGAGTCCGCTTGGATAAACATGTAAGTTTGTTTTCATTATTATAAAAAAGTGGAGGCAATTGACTTTGGATATACCATAAAATAAATAAATAAATAAATAAATAAATAAATACAAATCTCCATAGTCCAAACCATGATGGTCACTTTTATCTAACTTGTTATTTCTTTATAAACATGTGGTGTTTAAACTTGCATTTTAAAGTTTGGCAAAAGTCAAAATACACTTTATAATATGTGCCAATGCATATATAAATACTAGCACTTTCATGAATATGATATTTAACAAATGCAAATTTTGGTATCCATCTATACAATTAAAATATGTATGGTTCTTATTTAATAAAGTCTTGGATATGTACGTATACAGAGGAAAATTGATTTGTTAACCAGATTTTCGTTGTAGACCAAGGGACAACCGAGGGTGCTAAAAGTGTTTGATTTCCACATTCATCATGAATAATGAATGTAAATTAACATTTATGTTGAAGTTACAACATTAATAGTAAATATTATACCATCCATGATCAATGTCTTGTGAATGTTCCGGACACATGGTATGTTCTTGTTAGTCCAATGGTTAGCAACAGAACTCAATTTCACATCCAAACATGCCTATACACACATGTATATATAGGGACGTTCAACCGAGAATAGTAACTAAATAAGATGATACAAAAACGGTCAAATCATGTATAAAAACGTATGTGATTTTACATTAACGGGTAAAAAGAAGGGTGTACGGGCGACTTTGGTCGCGACTTCATATCGCGGGCAAAGTCGCGTGATTTTATATGTGATTTTAGTGTAAAATTACATGCGATTCGACCATTTTTTTCATTCTCTTATTTAGTTATTGTCCTCGTATAAACCTGACTATATATACTCCAAATCATTTGAAAACCCTCTGACTGTTACAAACAATTGTTATATATATATATATATATATATATACACACACACACACACTACATTAATAACCATTTAGACTAGAATCTTAATTACAACTCTTAAAGCATAGATTACTATCATTTTGTGCAAGAAATTCAAAAATCTTTTAATTACAAATTATTATGCACAATGTACAAGTTCTTTATGCCAACATCAAATCCTAATTGGGTCAAACATGGTTTCTCTTATCAGACTTCTAAAATTACCACATTGGACCGCTTTCTTCTTCTGTATTCAATCTCTGCGACCCATTTTGGCTTTCTTCTTCTTCTGTATTCTAAGCGTTTGGTACGTAATTCTATGTCACATGCACCTACATGATTCTACGGAACAGACCAAAATTGACAACTTCATGGTTCAAGAACTTGATGGAACTATAAACGAATGGGGTTGGTGCAAACAGAAGGTATTGCAATTCATTCTGCAATTAGTTATTGATCAGACAAAAGTCTTATATTCTTGTGACCCTGTGCCTAACAACTATTTTGTTCCTCTCTACGAGCTTGGCGCGAATGCTATATTGGTAGTGTCACTTGCTGTGTGTAAAGCAGGGGCATCAATCCCTCTCTGTAAGTATAAGGTATCCACTACCCACCTTTGTTCCTTGGTGTAAACTTGTAATTGATGTGAATTATGACGAACAAAGTACTTCAAGTTTGTTGTCTTCATATGCAATGCAGCACATTGCAAACCTTGTTGGAAATTGATAAGCATGGTTTATTACATGCTTAAAGTACCTATTTCTTATATTTATTAGGTAGATTTTCATAGTTTATCCCAACCTTGAGTCATTTTTACTTCTTTATTTTCCATTTGTTATGTTTGGAGCTAATTGTGATAATGAATCTGTTTTTACAACAAGTTGGAGTAGATAACATTTTTTTGACTCAGTTCACTGCACTGTGATGCTGCAGCATTCCAACAGCATTGCCCGGCTGCATCTTGACTTTTGTAGGAGGTGCTTAATGCTTAAGTCATATCTTGGAAGGAAGTCTGAATGGAAGAAGCCCTCGTTTTTGGACTGGTTGCAGCTGGTGACAAGAGTTGGAGATGACCCTTGGAAGACTTTTTGTGATGGAGAATAAAGCTCCTTTTTTATTGTCTTTTCTAGATGTACCTCTTTGTACTTTGTACTTTCTTGTGTTTTGTCTTTTTCTCTTATTGTTGGGTATTTAAGAAGGCATTTGGCCACTCCTTTTGATATACCAACTTGGGACGAAAATCCTTCACCAAGTTGTGCTCTCAAACTCTTCCATATTATTAATGTTATTATAAGCTTTTAAGTATTTATTAATTGTTCTTCATTTCTTGTCTTTTATTTTATAGTTATTTATTTTACGTCTTACTTTCCGTCATTTACATTCTGTCATTTACATTTACGTCATTACTTTCAGTTATTTACATTCCGTTATTTACATTCATGTATTTACTTTACATCATTTATTTACGTCATTTACTTTCCGTAATGAGTAGCTAATTTCACTAGTACGGGTGTAGGATAAAGGGTGAAATGTTAAACCGAATGAAGTGGACATTGTTTCGCAATAACAATGTTCCACTATTTCATTCAAGTTTTTATAAAAACCAAGCACACTTCTTGACGGGTTGATCACTTGAAAGTGTTAATGTGCGATGGACTTAGAGATAAGCCATCAATAAGCACGTCAACTTGGATGACATAAGAGGTAGACTTGAAAAAGTTGCCGACAAGGAGACTTGTCATTTATGTTTTTCAAAACGTAACTCCCGACGGGTTGGTCGCTTGTTAAAAAGTGTCAAAGTGTGATAGATTCAGAGATGAACTATCAAGAACACGCCAACTTGAATGCTATGGGAATCGGCTCGAAAGAGTGATTTTTAGCAAAGAGATTTGTTTAACCATATATCTTGAAGACACCATTTTGTCACTATCCCTGGTCCGAACACCTCATAGAGATATGGGTGCTAAGCTATAATATAGTGCAAAGGTGAAGTCCGAGAGGAATACCTTCAAGATAAATGGTGGGACCGGTCTTTCCACAGCTTTGTCTGCTGGATTTCGTGTTTACGTTTCACCCCAAATCTTACACTCGTGCTACCTTTATTATTCTGCTTTATTACTCTACTTTATTATTCTGCTTTATTACTCTGCTTTATATTATCTGTGTTAACTTGAACTCAACTAAAGTCTTCGTTTTCGCCATCTGAAATCATCTCTTTTATTTAACTCTAATTTAACTTTGGCTACAGTCCCTGTGGAYGATAATCCGGTACTTGTACCACTTATTACTTGGAAAAGACGACATTGGGCTATTTTGTATACTTGCTTTATGGCCCAATTCCTTTAGTCTGAAGGTGTGAAATAAAACCGACCAGAAATAAGACCTTGGTTCTGCCTGTACCAGCATTCAACGTGATAAATGCAGGTTCGCATGCCGGTAACAAGCTTGCGATGCAGGAGTTTATGATTCTTCCTGTTTGAGCTTCTCCTTTCAAGGAAGCCATGAAGATGGGTGTTGAAGTATATCATAACTTGAAGGTGTCACCTTATACTCTTTTCACCACACCATGGCATTGTTGTAGGCTTTGCATTAACAATATTTTTATCTTGTTGTCTGTTATTAAAAAGAAATATGGTCAGGATGCCACCAACGTTGGTGATGAAGGTGGCTTTTCTCCTAATTGTGATTCACTCGCGTTGCATCATGCTGGTACACCATTAGTATATATATATATATATATATATATATATATAGGGAAGATTTCAAACGAGAACGCGAGAACACCATTTTACAATAGACAATCACATGTGTTACTATTATTCCATCACATATGATACACATGTGATACTAAATCAGAGACGCGAGCGATTTTCGGCACGATCTTGGTTGCGGGCCAAGTCGCCCTTACACCACTAAGCCCTCTCACATGTATTATCACATGTGATAGGGGTGTTATTGATATGATACTATAATCCATCAAGACCATCACACGTAATGTTAAATCATAGACGTAGACAACCTTTGGGGCGACCTAAGTCGTAGAACACGTCTTCCGCATACCACCAGGTCCCCTCATTGTATATTATCACATGTGATAAGAATGTTCTCGTATTCTCGTAAAATGGAGGTATTCTCGTTTGAACCTCCACCTATATATATATATATATATATAYASASASASAGAGAGAGAGAGAGAGAGAGAGAGTTTGTTTCAAATACAACCTATCACATTTGTACAACCAATGCAACCCAATAAATTGAAATATTTATGGAAATGATGAGAGTTCATTTATTATGATTTAAATATTTATGGAATATGAATACGGTTCATTAATTATGATTAATGCTTTATAATAGTAAATAATCAAAACTTCTATAAATTACATATTCATCAAATTAAACGGATGGTTGAGATTGGGCTGTATTGGTTGTACAAATGTAAGAGGTTGTATAATAACCCCCCCACACACACACACACATATATATATATATATATATATATACTAGTTGTTTGCCCGCGCAATGCGGCGGGATGCCAAATTTTCTAATAAGTCTAAAACTAAAAATGAGTGCAAGTATTTGTCAAAAAATAT